TATGTGTGAATGTGTATGTGTGTGTTTATATATGTGTGTAAGTGAATGTGTATGTATGTGTGAATGTGTATGTGTGTGTATTTATGTATGTGTATGTGTATATATATGTGAATGTGAATATGTATATGTATGTATATGTGATTGTATGTGTATATGAATATGTGTATATGTGTGTGTTTATATGTATGTGTATGTGTTTGTGAAATGTATATGTGTATGTGTTTGGGAAATGTATATGTGTATGAGTATTTATGTATGTGTGTATATGTGTATATGTGTGAATGTGTATGTGTTCGTGTATATGAAAATATGTGTATATATATATATGTATGTATGTGTATGTATATTTGTATGTGTGTAATGTATGTGTATGTGAAAATATGTGTATATATATATGTATGTATGGGTATGTATATTTGTATGTGTGTAATGTATGTGTATGTGAAAATATATATATATATGTATGTGTATATATAGTATATAATTTTTTTATATATTTTTTTTAAATTTTTTAAAACATTTGCGACGGATGCGATGGAAAAAATTCCGTCGCAAATTGCGACGGAATTATCCGTCACTTTCCGTCGCAAAACGCAGATTTTTTCCGTCGCACTTTTGCGACGGATTAACGACCGTTATACGTTTGCGACAGCGTTATACCGACGGAAATAAGTCCGTCACATTCCGTCGCAAATTCTTAATTGCGACGGATTTCCTTTATATTTGCGACGGATTTTTCCGTCGCTATATAGCTGTTTTTTTGTAGAGTTAGCTAGCAAAGACAAATTCACATGGTGATGGTATCATGATAACGGTGGGCATATAAATATATATATATAATATATAAGTATATATAGAAATGTGTGTGATAGGCAGGAGGGAAACATACGCCAGGGGGGTCAGACAAAACGCGAGAAAACCTCCGGAGAAAGCGCTGAGCACTGACGGCGCAAGTTACCAAGAAGGGGCAATGAATCCCTTAACGTGCGCTTACTGATCCTGCATGACAGGATCGAGACAGATAAAAGCGAAGCAGGGGGGCCCCGCATGTGGGGAACTGGATGGACCAAGACATGGACGAATCGGACGGCTCAGATTCTCCGGCAGGTCGCGTCCAGGTCCAGTGCTTTTGCAGCCCATCTCGACTTGGGCGCACATTACCTCATGCGCATTTTAGCTCCCAGTCTCTTTTCTTTTTCAAAATTAAAATAAAATTATCCTACCCCTTACATTCTAATATTCTGTAATAGAATTCTCAGACAAATGATGTCATGTCTACATTTTAGCTTTGTATAATTTTCTCGAAATTTTTTTGGTCCATGCAGATGATATGATGACTTGGGACTATATATATATATATATATATATATA